GTATTTTTTTTCTTTTTCTTAAGCAAAAACCTCATCAGTTTTTAAGTCCAAGGTCCTTCCATTTGGCATTACATTGTATTCCAGTATGTTTTCACATTCCATAAGCATTCACAAGGACATGGTCATGCACAAAGGGAGGATTAGAAAGTAGAACTGCTTATGATCTGAATTTTTAATACCCTGATTTTTTGTGGTTTGTTCACTTGGGATTTAACATTTTTCTCTTAATGTGCATCCTACCTTCAGGCATTATGGCTCATGCATTGGGAAAGGATGGGAGTGCTTGCGAGTGTGGACTCTCGGATGGCACACCAGGGAGTTAGGTCCCCTTTGAACCACACAATGACCCAAGAGCAGTTCACATATCCTCTCTTAAGATCTGTCTCCCACTACCACTAGTGATGCCTCTATCAGGCACAGTGCTAAGTATCATGCCATTTATTTCATTGTTATGACCATCCTATTTATTAATAGTTGGCAGCATCACCATTGTGAGGTCAAGGAAACCTTTATTCATCTATTTAATTGTTTTGCTATAGGGTGCATAAGCTCGCCAGAGAGAGACACAAAGAAGGAAAATGAGAAATCACCCCCTAGAGGGGATGACTGCACAGCCATCCCTTCTCCTTCATTCTCCTCTTGGGATTTTGGGCAGGCACATACACACGCCTGAGGTGATTTTCAAGCCAACGGGTCGAACATGGTAGAACAGTGGTTTACCATGTGGGAATCCAGTATCTTAACCACCATTCCACCTGCTGGTCCCAAGGAAACCAATTTTAAAGACAGATGAAATGACATGCCCAAGGCCCCACAGCAAAGAGCTATCACACTCTTGCCCTGAATCATCACGCTATACTGCTTGAAAACCACTGGCCAGCCCCCAAGCCTGGCATAAAAGCCCTATCACATGAAGAGCCCTTCTGGATGTAAAGGGCTCAGAAGGTAAAACAAACACAGTCTCCAACATTCATGGTCAATAACTGACAGACACTATGTGGAAGGGCCAGTAGTCCTCTGCTGGGCAATCCTGGAACAGTCCCTTTCTAAAACAGCTTTTGGCATCCATCTCTCTTACCCTTGGTAAAACCTCCCTCTGTCTGGCCTGCTTTTAAGTCCCATAATTATAGCGAAGCAGGCATGTGGCTCAAGAGGCCACATACCTCAAGTCCTCCCTTTACCGCCTTTGTTTCGTTAGCATTTTGCCTGCTTGACCTTCATTCCTGCCCGGCCATTGTTTCATTGGCTGGGTGCACAGGTCCATGCAAAGAGCTGGAACAGGTTCTTTCTTTTATAAGTCAATGCCCACAGCCTTTCAACTTATGCATTCTTTCATTTGTGCAAACTGGGGCAGAAGTGGGACTTGCAGAACATCCTCCCTCCCACTATCGTTTAGACGGGAAACATAACTATATGAAAGCAAAATCTAATATCAAATTTCAACAAATGAAGAAAAGAAGAAGGAGGAAGGAAACAGGTACAGCGTGAATATTCCTCTAAAATAACAGAGAAAGAGAAGGCAAGAGAGAGGCAAGTTTTGAATATGAAATACAAAAACTGAAAATTAACAAAAAAAGGAAGTGGCTTCTGACTTTTGTCTAGGTCCTGGAATGAACAAGCACAGCTGATTATGATCAATGTCTTGCAATATTTACTGATTTCTATGAAAGTGTGAACCTAAAGAAAGGCCTGTGAGTCATGAGCACAGGAGGGGAAATTAAGTGCAGTATTTATCATGCAGATTCTGACTCATCCTTATCGGGGAGAAAGCTTGGTTGTTTTAGTGGGTGCTTTTACATTCTGTGTGAATCTTAGTCTCACCAAGCCACATTAGCTAAGAAATCACTTTTGAATTAAATTATATTTTATAAGCAAGATTCAGAAAAAGCAGCAAGACTCACGAATGTTATTTCTTAAAGTAACATTCAGGAGAGACGTGAACGAACAAAAAGAGATTAGTACAGCTGAAGTCTACTTTAAAAAACATGATAGGCAATACTTGGGTCTAATGAAATAGTAAACTAGGGGGTCAGTTATGTGCCGTGGTTGGGGTTCTTTATTATGTTATCTCCCATCTACCCAACCCTGCCACTGAAACAACCATAACATCCATCAAAAAAGAATGAAATAAACTAAGTATTTGCAAATAATGGAACACTGGGCAATTTTTTTTTTAAAGTGGAAATAAACTGGCTTATAAATGAGCTGAAGAAATACGGCAAGGTATAGAACAGAGGGCATAGTGAAGATGCCTCTCTAAGAGCTTAGAATTTAGTGATGAAGGTAAATGGATTAGTATCGCTCTCTTAGCGATGGTATCATGGCATGGATGGGACTTCAGACCAACATCCTGTCCTAAAGAATGTATTTCTATACTCTTTGCCTTTTTGTCTGTCTTCATGATGAATATGTATTAATTTTGGTATACAATATCAATCAATAAATGAAAATGTTTGAAAATAATGAGTACCCATCACTTTAGATATGGTTGATGAGAAATTTGGTTTTAAAAGTGAATTGTCAAATATGAGCAGGAACACTACTATTCATATTCTTCCTGGAAATTAAGTAAATATTCCTTAACTGTTCTTGGCCCCAGGGTTTACAGAAACAACATGATGTTCGTATGTTGTATTGTATGACTGCACACATGTTCTCTCACTGTCTCTTATACACATGGATATAAGTAGTTTGATGCTTTTATTGAAAACTGCTAAGAAGCTTCGATGCCCAACAAATCTGATCCCAGAGAGCTGGCTCACCCCTGGAAAGGAGCTATGGTTTGCCCGAGGTGATTGTGGCACTTGCACAACCACAAAATGGGGTGAAAGGGACCAGCAGATGGTATAGCAGTTATGTGCTGGATTCCCACATGACCAATCATGGTTCAAATCCCAAACCTGGTGATTTAAAAATCACGCCAGGTGCATGTGCATACATGCCCAGGATTCCAGAAGGAGAATAGAGGAGAAGTGACTACAGGGTGGCCGACCCTCCTGAGCCGGTAGTGATTTCTCACTTTTCCTCTCACTGTTTCTGTTTCTCTCTCTGGCAAGTGGATGCATCCTAAGGAAAAAAAAAAAAAAAAAAAAAAATCTTAAACAAATGGAGAGGAAAAGGGAGTTTTATTTTCGTAACTCAAGGAACACTGTGCATGTTGAGTGAAGACAGAGGTACGCTTGTGAGATGAAGAGTGCCATGATGTGATTACAGGGCTGCGTTGGGAAGAGTATGGCCGTCCTACTAATACACATTAAAGCAAGAGACAGATGGAGACGATAGCAGTTATTTAAGGCTCTGATGCCAGGCTGTGATAGTGCAGGTAGCCGCACCATGGCCTGTTATTAGAGGCCATTGTCTTGCTCCTGTGACTCCCAGGGATGCCAACATAGCAAAGGGAGGGAGGCAGAACCGCCCAGGACAGGGGGAGTCTGTCTTTCTCTCACACGGTATTTAAGGAAGCCAAGGGCAGCAGATGATGCTCTATCGGGGTTCATCGATCCTAGATGGGCCAGAATGTGTTATATAGACTTGTGCTTGGGAAAAGAAAAGCAGCTTCGGAATCAAACTTTCAGTGGAAAATAATGAACGTATCTAGCTCTGGAAAATCCAAATCTGACAGACTGTGACCCTTAAGTAGGATGTAACTTATTTTTCTTTACGAAAAGTAGGTAAGCTTGTGTCAGAAAAATGTGAAACGAAGATAAGTAAAAAAACAAAACACAGCAGCAGTAGAAGGATTACTCCTAATTGTACGACTGAGAGAGAACCAGCCCAGAAAAGTTTGGCTGATTTGTTATAACTCATCCATCAGTCTATCTAACGTGAACAAATATTTGTATGCATGCATGGACATACAAGATATGTTAGGTGAATGGCACCGTTCTGTTAATGCTAAGCTAGAATAGAGACCTAGTAGTATGTGTCCATTCATAAGCTGTGTCAGGACCATCCTTAGAGTTAAATTTCAGTACATAACTTTTTTGTTCTTGTTTTTTTTTCATGATAGGGTGTATGTGCATGCCAAAGGGGAGGGAGACAGAGAGAGGAAAAGTGAAAAATCACAACCCCAGGGGAAGGTCACACCACAATCCCTTCTCCTCCATTCTTCTCCTGGGAATTTGGGAACATACACACATGTGTCTGGCATGATTTTTAGCCACCAGATCTGGGACTTGAACTGTAGTCAACCATGTGATAATCCAGTCACCTTAACCACCATGCCATTTGCTGACCTCATCAGTACACAACATTTGTTATTCTCGTAGAGTAAATTATCAGACATGGAATTGTGTCAATAGTGCATAAATGAGGTATAGAAAATATTTTTCAGGGGACCAGCAGTTGGTATAATGGCGATGTCACTAGACTCCCTTGTAGTTGACTGCAGTTCAAGTCCTGGACCCAGTGACTTAAACTCACACAGGGCGCGTGTGCATGTGTGCCCAAGATCCCAAGAAGAGACTGGAGGAGAAGGGATTGTGGCGTGGCCATCCCCCTTGGGTGGTGATTTCTCGCTTTCTGTCTCTCTGATACTCTCTGTCTTTCTGGCAAGCGCATGTGCACTATAGCAAAAACCTCTCTAAAAAAAAAAAAAAGAATTTTTCAGGACCAGCAGATGGCATAATGTTGCTGGACTCCCACATGGCTGACTGCGGTACGAGTTCTGGACCCAAAAGCTTGAAACTCACACAGGGTACGTGTGTATGCATGCACAAAATCCCAAGAGGAGAATAGAGGAGAAGGGATTGTGGCATGGCCATTTCCCCCAGGGGAGTGATTTTTTGCTTTCTGTCTCTCTGTCTCTCCAGCAAGCACATGCGCCCTATAGTAAAAACTCTCTTAAAAAAAGTATTTTCCATTTAACTCGAGTCTTTCAGAACTCATTTTTGCTAACCAAAGTCACTTGACCAAGATTGCTCACGAGCCCCTTAAAGTGGTGTTTCCAGCTCTAGAACAGGTCAAGGTTTTCATAAGTAGCTGCAATGATTCATACTTACTTTCCGAGGCTTCACTTTATCTTGTATATCATATTGACCTATTCCTTTATAGCTGATTCCAAGCCACCAAGGAAGTCCTTGTTTATCCTAGAAGACAGAAAAGAGTGAGAACCAAGACCTAATTGTTAAGTCTTCTAGAGGTGAAGTAATATTTACCAATTTCATCCCATAGCAAGTATCAGCAAGTCAAAATAAAGCTGTCTTTGTAAACAAAACACTACTTAAAGATCTAACTTGTAATTAAAATGCCTTCTTAGAGTTCCTTCAAATAAGATCTATAAGTCAGAATAGACCAATACTGTTAATGCCATCAAAAAAGAATGAAGCATTAGTATTCTGATTAAAGAGCTGGAGAGAAGAAATAAAATGTAAGTAATTCAACAAAAATTAATCCTGTAAAAAGCCAGTTATCCATTAAGAAAATAAAGGTGCTTTGTTCTATTAGTACTCGGCTATAAAGATTGGGGAAGTTTCCAGAGAATTACTAAGATGGGAAAAGTGCTTCCAAATCCTGATGATTATAATACAATTAACAATGAACATGGGAATATGAAAAAATTCCTTTGGAGAGCTATATAAGTCAATGATAAGATATTTCAGTATTCAACACATTATATAGAAGAGGAGAACAATATATATTTTTCACAAATTGATCTTTTAGGTCTTGTCCCTTTACATAGGGAAAGTAAAACTTTGGCTTATACATATATTCATGTGCAAATCAGAATTAGTAGACACTAAAGTTAAATTGGCATATGTTAGGATAGGGTGTCTTCACTATGTAATTATTTATGATCCAATTCCCTATAATTTTGAAATATATACAGACATACACATTGTCATAACATGAAAAGACATTCAAAACTGATCAATTATAACATTATTCCTATTTCAAAGACTCCCTTTATAAAAAAAAAAAAAAAAAAAAAGAAAGAAAGAAAGAAAAGAAATGCTTTTGCTAAAGGGTGTGTGTGGTTGCCAGGGACAGTGAGGGAGTAAAAGAGAGGGAAAGTGAGAAAGCAACACCCCCCCCAATGGGGGATGGTCACACCACAATCCCGATCCATTCTCCTTCATTTCTCCATTTGGGATTCTGGGCGGGTACGCACATGTGCCTGGCATGTTTTTCTTTTTCTTTCTGTTTTCTTTTTTTAAGAGGTTTTTGTCTTAGGGTGTGTGTGCTCACTAGAGAGAGATAGACAGAGACAGAGAGAGGGAAAATGAGAAATCACTCCTGGAGGGATGGTCATCCCAACATCCCTTCTATTCCATTCTTGTCCTGGGATCTTAGGCATACATGCACAAGCACCTGGTGTTTCAAGCCACCAGGTCCAGGACTTAAACTGCAGTCAGCCACGTGGGAGTCTAGTGACGTAACGGCTATACCATCTGCTGGCCCTGCCTGCCATGTTTTTCAAAACACCAGGTCTGGGACTTGAATTATGCACTTGGCCATATAGGATTCAGCCGCCTTTACCATCACTCCACTGGCTGGCCCTCACGGCCTTCTTAACGGTACACTTATTTGCTTCTCATCATCTCAAAATATTTCCTAGTGAATTTCTCCCCACTTATAAATATGTGAAAATACTATGCAAATACAAAACATACTGATCAAAAAATGGCATGGCAAATCCTACAAAAATGTCAGCGTTTTATGAAGCTGTTTAAATAACATTGGAGACCACATGATTCTCATACAAAGGTATGATCAAAGGAAGGTCTGGTAGCTTTAGAAAGGGGAATAATGGCAAAGAAAACAATCACCAAGGGTCCGTGTATCCAAAGGAGATGATCTGAGTATCTTAGAATAAGAGAAGTTTTAGTAAAACATTCGAAGCTAACTAGTAGTTAGCAAAAATACTGTGCTTTGTAATTTGCTAAAAAGGACAAGATATTAGGTTGTCCTATGTTAAGAAAAGCAATCCTATTCTATATGCTGTAATCTCTAGACACAATTTACATCCATGTGTACATATTGATATATGTGATTTTAGAAAGTCGGTGTTGTGGGACCAGCAGTTAGCGTAATGGCTGTGTTGCTGAACTCCCGTGTAGCTGACTGCGGTTCGAGTCCCGGACCCGATGGCTTAAAACTCACGCCGGGCATGTGTGCGTGCGTGCCCAAGATTCTGAGAGGAGAATGGAGGAGAAGGGATTGAGGCAAGGCCATCCCCCCTGGGGGGTGATTTCTCGCTTTCTATTTCTCTGTCTCTCTCTCTCTGTCTGTCTGGCGAACGTACGCGCCCTATAGCAAAAAAAAAAAAGTTGGTGTTGTTCAGTAACTGTCATAAAATAGCATGGGCATGGTGAAAGCCTTGCCACATCAAAGTATTTACCTTTACTGCGTAATAATGTACTCCGTAAGTCGGCAGAGCTTCTACTATTTTCATGTACCTATGGAAAACAAATACACATCATAACCTTCCATTAAAATAATCAGAAGGCCCTTCTGAGAAAAGTGATTTAAAGAAACAATTTATTGCTACTTTCCTCATTACAATCATGATTAATGTCTTGGACTGAAGTAGGACAAGAATAAACCGTTCTGGGGAGTAATCCACTTTACCTTATCTAAGTCTTAGACAGTTACTAACAGAAACTCGACTTCAAACAGGTATAGGAAATGTTATTTTCTGCACATTAAAATTTCTACGGCTTACAAATAGATCATGTTATATTCTATTAACTCAAGTTGCAAGGATCTTTTAAAAGTAAGCACCTAATGAGGCAAGCGAAAAGAATCAACTTGTGGGTCATGCACTTAAATAAAAAATAAATCTACCCCAAATACTGAGTGTGGTGGAGGTTACCTAGCTGTAAATATTTGTCACAAGTCTTAGAAATATAAGGACCAGCTGTTGGCGTAATGGCTATATTGCTGGACTCCCATGCAGTCAACTGTAGTTTGAGTCCCGGAACCAGTGGCTTAAACTCACGCCGGGCGTGTGTGCGTGTGTGCTCAAGATCCCAAGAGGAGAATGGAGGAGAAGGGATTGCAGCATGGCCATCCCTCCTGGGGGTGATTTCTCGCTTTCTGTCTCTCTCTCTCTGTCTGGTGATCGCATGCGCCCTATAGCAAAAGTCTATCAAAAAAATTAATTAATTAAAAATAAATATATTCTTTAAAGGGGTGAACTTCAGGATATGTAACCCCAACTTTAAAAATATGCCCCCCCAAATAAAAATTAAAGCAACCATTAAAGATGCCATTTTAATCGTTGTGTTTAATGTAAGAAGTATTTCTTGTGTCCTGTAAGGCTTTGGAGTAAACTCAATGGTGTAAGATGTCCTCTCTGCTACAAAGAGTTGAGGATTCTGTTTATGCAAGTGGACTTTTCTTTCCTTTTTAGTTCTTTGCTACAGGGTCTCTCTCTCACCAGAGAGAGACAAACAGGGAAAGTGAGAAGTTATCCCCCAACAGGGGGAGAGTGGCCATGCTATAACTCCTTCTCCTCCACTCTCCTCTGAGGATTTGGGATACACATGTGTAAGTGCCTGGCATGTTTTTTTAAGTCGCTGGGTCCGGGACTTGAACTGTGCCATCAGACATGTAGGATCCAGCGCCTTAATCACTATACCACCTAATGGCCCACAAGTGAACTTTTAAATGTCACTTGAAGATCACTTTCTCTGGATTTCCTTGTCAATAATTTGGCAATTTCTTGTAAAGTAAATGGCCTACTTGTAAATGAACATAAGTGGCTAAGTAAACATGCCACATTAAACCGCACAGCCAAGATTCTAACCAAGGTGAGTTGGGTTCTACAGACGAGAGCCTTAACTACCAGGTTAAACTCTCTCTTCTGGAGCCACATGATAATAATCCAAAGGAGTAAAAGGACTCTGCATTTAAGCAAGGACACTGTAATATACTCACTAGCCTAACCTAACATTTTTCAGGGAGATTATTATTATTATTTCAGTTCAGGAAACAGGTATGTGTTAAAATGACAAGGATTCAACTTCAGGACTGCTAACTTGTGATTTCTGCCTGTAAGATCATAGAACATGTGTTATGATAAAAATGAGATTAGACCACAGAAGTATGAGTGTGTGGGAAATCTATACAATGACATAGGAGAGCCTTACTTCAATTTTTGCACTTTTTTTTTTTTAATACTTGGTGGCTATAGAAATTATTTTATAATTACTGAGCAATAACACATTTTAAACTTACTGATTTTATAAATTTTTTATTAATAGTCTTTTTGTTTGTTTGTTTTATTTTGGGGATGGCCATGCTACAATCCCTTCTCCATTCCCTTCTCAGGATTTTGGGCATGCACACATGTGCCTGGTGTGATTTTCAAGTTGCTTGGTCTGGGACTTGAACCACAGAATCTGCCATGTAGAATCCGGCTGCCTTAACCTCCATGTCACCTGATGAACCTGGTTTATATAATTTTAAGTTTAATGTAGAAGTCAATTCAATGGGTAGTAACTCTATAAGTCACAAAATGCAGAAATACATCACTATGATCTGCTCTTGGTAGCATGAAGAAACAGATTATCCAAAGCCAATTAAGCTGTGGATTGCTCCTAATGTAGGGTCACAAACCAAGGACCAAAGCAAAGCCTCCAGATTGTCTTAGTTGGCTCATATTGCATTATAACTTGCTTAAAATTACCACCCCATGTTTAAAATTTGGATTTACAATCTGGATTTCCAGTTTCTCTTAGAAAATATCAGAAGATCTGGCAATATTATGCCTGAATTATGAAGCTGAGTAACCTGCCACTACTCAGGGTGAAAACTCTCCAGTTCACCTTAGTTTCCACCATTCTCTATTACCCTACATCTGGGCATTTTGTTACCTGCCTGACACTGGTAGGTATTTGAGTTGGTGATACTAATATATAGGATAACCAAGGCATTTTCTAATTTATCATAAAATGTTTCTGACCAGATGAGGCTTAGGTACATACACAATGAAAGTAATTTCAAATGATTTCTTCAAATGGAACACACTAAAATTGTATCTAGGGAGAAGGAAAAAAATACTTACTGAACCACAGCATGACCCCGAGTCAGACCTTTGATTTTCAAATAATGCTCAATTACTCTGTCTTCACTGAAAAAGAAGGAAATGGGAAGTTTGGCAATGTATGATTATCTGAGGTACAGAATCAATTTCCATATTTTCATGTGGCTGTGGCTGATACTTGAGAGGGAGTCTTCACCAACTTGTTCGGAAGATGGAATCTGACTGACTTTTGTTTGTAAGCACGTGGGAAGTTCATGAGAGTTGGCTACCTTCATTATTATCTCTAAGTTACATTATATATAATATGATCTTATAATGTATATTAACATTTTTTAAAAACCTAATTTACTAGAAAAGGATATATAATATCATTTTCTCAAATGGAAAACTACTATCTTTTGCCATAATTGGATGGGCTATGATACGTTCCAAATGACAATATTAAATGCTAGCTGGAAAACACTGTCGAACACATGCTGTGTATATGGCTACCCTCTCTTAGCAAAGAAAGGGAGATCAGTAAGTGCTAGGAATCAAAGACTTTCTCCTTGAAATATTCAGAAATATTTTTAAAAATTCAAACTGGGTCAGGTGGTGGTGTGGTGGTAGCAGTGTAACACAACTAGAACTGCATGAGAAAGTCTTGGGTTCATGACCCAGGACCTCCCTGAGCATGGAAGATGTGTGTATACTTCTCCCTGATTTAGGCGGGCTGAGGCGGGGGTGGCCATGTTGGGGAGGGACTGTGATGTGAGGACCCTGCTGGGGATGTCTGTTTCTGTCTCTGTCTCTCTCTCATTAAAGCAAAAAATTAACATGAAAAATAATTAAACCCTCTACTGAGTCTGTGTGCAAACTAACATACTCTTTTATCACCACTTGTGGACATATTGCCTCAAGAGAAAAAACGCTTCATTATTGCCTTAGGGTAAAATTTGTTGACTGATGGGGCCAGCAGGTGGTGTGGTGGTTAAGGAGCTGGATTCCCACAAGGCTGCCCACGGTTTGAATCTCAGACCTGGCAGCTTGAAAATCAAGCCAGGCATGTGTGTGTGCATGCCCGAAATCCCAGGAAGAGAATGAAAAAGAAGGGATTGCAGTGTGGCCATCCCCCTGGAGGGTAGTGCAGCACATGTGCCCTATGATGAAAACCTAAAAACAAAACAAAACAAAAACAAAAAACAAGGGACCAGCAGGTGGCATGGTGGTTAAGGTGCTGGACACGCTCACTTGGCCAACCATGGTTTGAGTTCTGGACCTGGTGACTTGCTTTCTTGCTTTCCCTCCCTCCCTCTCTGTCTCTCTATGGTCTAATTAAAGTAAATGAATAAATAAATAAAAAGTAAATAAATAATTCTTTTTTAAAAAACAAAACAAAAAAAAACCAAACTCCTTGACAGGAATGGTGAGAACTTCGCTGAAGTCTGGCATCCTCTGACATTATTCAACTTTTAGATGAATAACTCTTCTAGTCTTTATCTCAAAAAAAACCTAAAAGAGCAACTATTTTTATGTTTAGATGACCAGAAATTGGTGATATCCAGCTTTTTTCCACTTTCTTAAGAAATGATCACTTAAGAATAATTTGTTTTGAAGGTTTCAGAGTCAAAGCACAACAGTTTCAAACATTTCCACTATATATCTGGAAAATATATTCTAACTTTCACATTAAAACTATCAATGCTGAATATTTATTTTATAATCTTTATTTGTTTTATAATATTTTTCAGTAGAAAGGAAAATCAATTTCAGGACTTGGAGACTGAAACTAAAGAGAATGTATTTAAAGGGAATATATTGGGTGGTTGGTAAAGTCGTGATGTATTTTTTACATAGAAAAATATGTCATGATTTTTCTAGTGACCTTATAGTTAACTCAAAGAAAAAGGTAAGTTTCAAGGAGAAATGTGAGATAGAAGATGGGAACTATGGATTTGTTAAAATATAAACAACAAAACCAGTTTAATATATACAATGATACCTAGCTATAGAGGAAACTTCTGACCAATGCAATCTGTGTGTTGTAACACCTGGAAGGCTGCGTTACATGATGACTACACATATTTTGAACATAGTATTCACCTAAAAGTATGCTCTACAGACATTTTACTCAAAGAAAAGACATAGCTGCTCTTTTTTTTTTTTTTTTTTAAAGAGAGATTTTTGCTTATAGGGCACCTGCACTCACTAGAGAGACAGAAGGAGGCAGAGAGACAGAAAGCGAAAAGTCAAGTCACAAGAGGGGATGGCCACACCGCAATCCTTTCTCCTCCATTCTCTCAAAATCTTGGGCATGAATGCACACGTGCCTGGCCTGAGTTTTAAGCCACTGAGTCTGGGACTTGAACCACAGTCGACTATGTTGGAGTCCAGTGATGTAACCATTACACCGTCTGCTGATCCCCACATAGCTGCTCTTTACAAATGACTGCAAAACGCATTTTGGTACAGATATGTATTGCTTAACAACAAGAACATTCTTCTTCTTCTTCTCCTCCTCCTCCTCCTCCAAGTCCCAAAGCTTGCCTGTACTCCTTCTTCTTCTTCAGAGAGAGATTTTTGCTATAGGGTGCATGTGCTCACAGAGAGACAGAGGGAAAGTGAGAAATCACTGGGGGAGGATGGCCATGCCACAATCCCTTCTCCTTCATTCTCTTCTTGGAATTTTGGGCATACATGTACATGTGCCGAGCATGAGCTTTAAGTCTCCAGGTCTGAGATTCGAACCGCAACCCACTATGTGGGGTCCAGCACCATAACGCCACTTGCTGGCCCCCACATTCTTAGAAATGCATTGCTAGGTCATTTCGTCATTGTGCAAATGTCACAGAGTGGCATCATCTACACACTTAGGCTGTATGATGTAGCCCGTTATCTCATGGGACAAACATCATACATATGCTCTGCTGCTGACCAAAACCATTACATGGCACAAGACTGTATATAGTTCCCATTTTCCACCCCACATTTCTCTCATCAGAGAGCTTTGACAAGATCTTTTCACTAAAAGGATCAAGGTCTACCTGGGGTTACTTTGATACACTTGGGCAATTTCACACATCCCTCTCCTGTATTTATTTTGATTTCCAGAAAAGCACTCAGCTCTCAACGGAAGCGAAATTGCAAGTCACCTGTTATCTTGATTTGGCTTACCAGTAAGCAAGGGATGGGTGCTCCTGAAGGGTTTTGGTTGGGAAGGCTGGCAGGGTCTTCAAATCTTTCCTGGCATTTTCATCACTAAAAAAAAAAAAGCAATGTGGTAGCATCAGGAATGTTACCCAAAATGTTATTCAAGCTGGTCATTAAATGAATGAGATTAAAAAGTAACTATTTCTAGCACTTTGGGCTCTGTCAAAATGTTGCAGTCAACAAATGTGAGGTTATAAACTCTAATTAGAAATAGCTCCCAAATTGGGGACCAGCAGTTAGCGTAATGGCTATGTCGCTGGACTCCCACGTAGTCAACTGTGGTTTGCGTCCCGGACCTGGTGGCTTAAAACTCATGCTGGGCGTGCGTACATGCATGCCCAAGATCCTGAGAGGAGAATGGAGGAGAAGGAATTGCGGTGTGACCATCCCACCTGGGGGTGATTTCTCGCTTTCTGTCTCTCTGTCTCTGTCTGTCTGTCTGGCGAGCGCATGCACCCTATAGTGAAAAAACCTCTTAAAAAAAAAAAAAAAAAAAACAGAAATAGCTCCCAAATTGGATAACCAAGTTAGATGATGGCATTTTAAGTTTAGAATTTCTACATGTATATATTTTATTTGAATATGAATATGGCTATGCCGCACTGATGGGGTGCTTTCTCTCTCTTTTTCTCTCTCTTTCTCTCTCTCTCTGGCAAAAGCACATGCCCTCTGGCAATACAAAAAAAAAGCTTAAAAAATAACAATGGTAATCATAAAGCCGCTCAGGTACTGTCCTCAGTTCTTCCTAACAGCTTTCACTGCAGTAAGAGTACACGTAGACCTTTTTATTACTCTTCTGTTATGTCACTGCTGCCTTCTGAAATATAGCTAAGCCTGCCAACTGCAGAAATCTCTTGAATGGAAGATGACCGAAATGTGTGTTTCTAATGAAGGTATCTCTCCAATTGCCTCAAGTGAACTATTAGGTTGTCGAGAAAGTCGTGACGTAGTTTTCTATGCAAAAATGTGTCATGACTTTCCTGAAGACCCAGTAGAATGTATCTCTGTAAGGTCAGCCATTCCTGATTGTATAACGGCAAAATTCTAGTTGTCAAGAGAAATCTGTGTCCTTTATGGAACTTGAAAAAGAAAAATGAAGGAGGTGGGGGCAGCAGGTGGCATGGCGGTTAAGATGCTGGACTCCCACATGGCAGACTGCAGTGTGGGTATGGACCCAGCGGCTTGCTTTCTCACTTTCCCCTTTCTCTCTCTTGCTGTTTCTCTCTGGTCAAATTACAAATAATAATAATAATAACAACAACAACAACAACAATAGCAACGAACAAATAAATAAATCGTTCTTTAAAAAAAGGGGGAAAACAGGTATTGAACTCAGTCACAGAGGGCCCTGCACTACCTGAGAGCAAACAGTCTAACTGCCCCACGTCTTCAAGGACATCGTGCATGAGGAAACAGACAGGACTCTCGGGGTGTAATAGAACCTAGAATAAGTGTATGGAAAAGCTACTTGAAATCCTCATCAAACTGTTGCTTAAAGACTCTAACATCAACTCTTCTCCTATTTCCTACCTCTTCCTGTCTTTACCACTAACCACTCTTTGGTGAGAAGCCAAGTGTCAGGTACAGTTTGTTTTTGTTTTTTGAGAGGTTTTTGCTATAGGGTGCGTGCGCTCACCAGAAAGACAGAGAGAGACAGAGGGACAGAAAGCGAGAAATTAGCACCTGGAGGGGATGGCCACGCTGCAATCCCTTCTTCTTCGTTCTCCTCTTGGGATCTTGGGCAAACACGCATACATGCCCGGCGTGAGTTTAAGCCACCGGATTTGGGACTTGAACTACAGTCGACTACATGGGAGTCTAGAGACATAGCCATTACACAATCTTCTGGTCCCAGTTTCAGGGTATTACTTACTTCATGGAAGGCTCACCATAGGCCTTCCTCTATGGTACCTTCTTTACAAGTAAGAGCCTGAGGTTTAGAGGCTAAGTCACTTACTCAGTCTTACAGCTACTGTGAGAAGGAGCCAGAGGCAAACCCCATGGACATGGCTCTGAAGACCAGATAGTTACTTCCACAGTCTATGTCCTGATCCCCAAACAGATGCCCAGGGCAGTGTTTTAGAGCATTGATATGAACATCCTTGACTCTGGAAAGGGATAACTCCTTTTTATTTATTGTTTTTAAACTTTATTTATTTATTTATTTATTTATTTATTTATTTATTTATTTTTTAAGAGAGAGAGAGATTTTTGCTAAAGCGTTTGTACTTGCCAGAGAGACAGAAAGCAAAAAATCATCCACAGTCCCTTCACCTCCATTCTCCTCTTGGGATTTTCAGCATGCACACACATGTACCTGGTGTGAGTTTTAAGCCACCGGGTCCGGGACTTGAATTGTGGTCAACTATGCGGGAGGCCCGTGACATAACCATTATGCCACCTGCTGATCCCAGGATAACTCCCTTTCATCCCTATCTCCAGTTACAAATGAAAGCACTGACAAATTAGTTTAAAAAAACCCACCACTAATGCATTTTTGTGTGGAGTAGAGGGTGCATGTACTAGCTTAGAGAGAGACAGAGAGACAGAGAGAAGGAGAAGAGACAGGTTTTGTTTGACCCACGCTGTACTATGATGTATTAGAAATTGCTCACACCTGTTACTTGATCATATTTGCTTTAAGCTGTTCTCCTTTAATGTCTAAGAAAGTTTCTTTTCTGGTTCTGTCAGCCAGTTTCCAAATCAAGCAAGCCACAGGGCAACAGAGTGTGCCCCCTAAACAGACCACATAAACCTACTGTCTTTCAGTAAAAATATACAACGACAGTGAATGTTCCCTAGCTTGGAGACATTAGAAAGTTGCACCTGTCAACATTACATTTCAGACCAGGGTGGTGGCCCTTCCTAAAGGTGAAAGATCTGTCTTTCCAAATTACTACAGGAAATAAGAAGTCACTTGGCTCCTGCTCTTACATAAGAACAAATCTCTCTATTCATCTGAAAGCTGAGCAGGACGGCTTAATGATATTGACAGTCTTGGGAAACCGGTTTGGGCTTCCTGAAAGTTGAAATACACCACAATCCAATGTATTCATATTAAAGGTCAACTGTCAATTTCCAGTACTAATATTTATTTTTCTTAATATATTCTTATGCTCTGCCCTTCAAAGCCAATTCTATTTATTTATTTATTTATTTATTGCTAGAGGGTGTGTGGACTCATCAGAGAAAGATACAGAGATGGAGAAAGAGGAAAAGGAAGAAGCACCCCTGATGGGAATGGTCACACTGCAATCCCTTCTCCTCTATCTCTCCCATTTTGGTATTTTGGCACATGTGCACACACACCCAGTGTGTTTCTCCAGGCCATGGCTTGAGACGGTAAGGTCAGCCATGTGGGATCTGGCTGCCTTAACCGCCAGGTCCAAAAGCTAGCCCAAAGTCAATTTATTTATTCTTTTTGAGATAGATTTTTGCTATAGGGTGCATGTGCTCCCTAGAGACATAGAGAGAGAAAAAGTGAGAAATCACTCCCCCCACCACTTCCAGGGGGAATGTCCATGCCACAGTCCCTTTTCCTCCATTCCCCTCTCAGGATTTTGGACACTCACACACAACCGGTGGGACCAGGACTCAAACTGTGGTTGGCTAAGTGGGAGTCCAACACCTTAACCACTATGCCACCTGCTGGCCCTAAGCCAATTTAAGCCAATTTACTTTTAAAAGAAGTTGGCGTGTGTGTGTGTGTGTATATGTGTGTGTGTGTGTGTGTGTGTGTGTGTGTGTGTGTTGCATAAGGGTAAATGCATATATATGTATCCAAAATAATTTTTTGTTATTAATCACCACCAACCACATATATGTTGCTGTCTTCTGGATCTAGGTGAACCGTGGGCTATGAGCCAGAGATTCAGTCTAGCATTCATTTAATTCTTTGGGTTAGAGTTAATTTTGTGGCAATGAAGTCTCACCAGATTAAACCTTGCTATTTACCACATATGTATTTATTCAGTTAACAAACATAGATATAGATACGTATAAATGTACAACAAACATGAATAAGTATATCCTAACATGTAGAAGCAAGAGTTAGAGGATGGAGTTGGTTTTAACTTATGTAAATGCAGTCAGCCAGAAGAGAGTGGACAGGGAAAAAAAACAAGGAAGAAACTTTACTCACTATTTTATTCAACAAGTTCATGATTGACAAATACAAAACAGGAGACTTGAAGGTGTTGCTTTTTAAGAGTGTTTAGTACTATCCCCCATTTATTTATTTATTTATTTCTGGAGAGGTTTTTGCTATAGGGTGCGTACACTTGCCAGAAAGACAGAGAGACAGAAAGCAAGAAATCTCTCCCGGGGGGGATGGCCACACCACAATCCCTTCTTCTCCATTCTCCTCTCGAGATCCTGGGCACGCACGCACACACACGTGCCTGGGGTGAGTTCAAGCCACCGAGTCTGCTGGTCCCAAGTACTATCCCCCTTTAAAGCACACACATCTCACAACACTGAAATTTTTCTAGCATTTAAACATTTAATACATGTTCACTAAACCCAAGGAACTTCTATAGTTACTGTCTAACTGAAAAAAAAAAAAAAGCTGTGTGTTTCAACTGGAGAAAAATTCTGTGTTAGATTTATTAAAAGGTAAACTTTGACCTTCAACACGTCATCTAAAGAATTTTGAAGAGTAATTTTAACTACATATCATTCCAATCTACTCCTGATATAATATTTGATATTATTTGTCTGGAAATGCTGGTTGAGTAGATCAGTAGATTTTCACAAGTTAATCATAAGCCACCATCCTAAATAACAATGAATATTCATTCCTTAAGATTTTCCTACCAACGGGGCTAGCAGTTGGCGTAATAGCTATGTCACTGGACTCCCATGTAGTCGACCGTGGTTTGAGTCTTGGACTCGGTGGCTTAAACTCACACCAGGTATGTGTGTGTACGTGCCCAAATCCCGAGAGGAGAATGGAAGAAAAGGGACCGTGGCATGGATATCCCCTGGGGGGGTGATTTCTTGCTTTCTGTTTCTCTGTCTCTCTCTGTCTTTCTGGCATGCACATATGC